TGCAAACCAACCAGGCAGAAGCTGTAATCACAAAATTGAAAATTCAAGCAAAATATTTTCAAAAGTGATTTCAATTGGGGCATGGAGTAATTTCCTCAGGGAGCTGGTAGAGGCTTTCTTACTGGAGGTGCTTGGAAAAAAAGTGTTTTTAACACTTAGGAAAGCAAGGTGAGAGGAATTCTACCATCTGAATGGCATTAAGGTGATGGTAGTAATCTCTCACACCACTAAGCTCCATCAAGCTATTTTAATCTTACAAAAACTTTCGCAGGAAAAATCTGTTTCCAATCCAGGGTCTTCAAGGCCTTCCAATGTAGATTTTAGCAATCCTATTAAGTTAGCCAAAAAGCTAGAGATGTGATTTGCAAGGCTTTGGTTTGCTGTTTCGAATAGCCAGTTAACCAATTTCAGGTGATCTCAAGCTGAAAGAGGAAGTGTGACTCTGATAGATGTATCAGCTCTATACTGTACATCACATAGAAGTAATAAAGCTTTAATAATGTCATTTGTGTCTCATAGTCTGTCCAAAAAGAACCTCTTTGCCACTTAAGGGCTGTACCATGGGAAGGGTGGTACAGAAGTGTTACAGTGAGGTGAAGAGGTCTTTCTAAATCCCAGCATAGTTAGTAGAGAAATTAGTACAGTAAATCTTCTAAATACTCAATTTCTTACACATTTCCTGTAATGTCACCATAGGGGGCTTCCTTGCTCTGCTTGTATCAACCAAAAAACCCAACATGTTCCCTTTGGTAAGTCTTTATTTACTTTTGTGCAAGTCCCTACAATTGCTAGCTATGATAAGCAGGGACTTGGCATTAGCTATAATTCACTGGAACTAAGGTTACAGAACAGAAGCGTCTTAATTTATTTCCTAAATGTCATTTGATACTCTTAAAATAGACATTTCCATTGTCAGCAGCATACAACGTTGAGGGAAACCTGACTTTTATTGTGAAACTATCAATGTTTGCCATTTCTGCATGTAATTGTCAAACAGATTACCTCTTATCGTCGTATGTTTTATTCATATTCTTTCCATGGCAGAGTAAAGAAAAGCCGGTCCACTGTCCACAGCAAATGACAAAATTTAAAATCAGTAATACAAAGAAGAAGCCAATTAAACTCCCTTATTACATTTTACTAAGCTGCTCCAGACCAATTATAGCCATATTTCTTTGTAGTTTAATTAGGTTCCACTCAGCTTCACAGAGTGGTAGCCTGTGGTGAATGAAAGCCTGAGAAACATGGTTCAGGTGCCATGTGCGGGATCATTAATGTGCTCTGGGCTGCTGCTTTGGAAGAAGCTGCACCTAATTACTTGGGTTAACACACTAATACCAAATGGATGAATTGCAACCATTTTCAGTGTCTTGTGGACCCTACAAAACTGTAGATTAATAAGTTGTTAGGGAGTGATGAGATGACCTGCTCTACTGTTCTTCAATTTTTCTCCATATGTTCTTAGAAGCATGAAGTGCTGAAGTGGAGAACTGTATCAACCACTGCCATTTCCATTCCTCTTTCTCTGAGGAATGATAAATTATCGCCTAAGAAATTATCAGAGTTGATGATCAAAATAGACCATCTTTTATTTCCTATAACTTCAATTTTGATCCAATTGGCTTTGGATCAAAATATACCATATTCAAGAGATAAGAGGTGCTTTGTTACCACAAAACACAGAGAACAGATTGAACTCCTTCCAGTTAGTAATAGCTGTCTGAAAATCAGGTATATAGTTTAAAACTACTATTTAGGATCTCTCTATAACTGACTGTAAGAATAAGTCAGGGAGACAAAGCAAGTGATCCAACTCAAAAAGGAAAAGGACAAGCTGGCTGATCCTGTTCACACCATGTTCATGTACTAGAGAGTATGTAACAGAGGTCTGAAAAATCAGGATGGGATGGCAAGAGTGTATTAAGACAGATTGGTAACCACATTTTTTGATGGAAGGGAGAAATAGAATCATAGAATCAAAGAATGGCTTGGGTTCGAAGGGACCTCAAGGACTGTGAATCTCCAACCCCTCTGCCACATGCAGGGCCACCAACCTCCACATTTAATACTAGACCAGGCTGCCCAGACCAACCTCCACATTTAATACTAGACCAGGCTGCCCAGAGCCCTATCCAATCTGGTCTTGAACACCTCCAGGGATGGGGCATCCACAACCTCTCTGGGCAGCCTGTTCCAGCACCTCACCACTCTCATAGTAAAGAACTATGAGAAAAACACATTACATGATAGCAGTAGGAGCACAAGTTTAAACTGAAAAAGGAGAGAGTTTTGTTCGTGTTTTAGTTTTCATAGTAAGTAGCAGATCTGTGAAATCCCTTTCTCCTACACAAGATACATTACCCATCAGGAAATCAAAGAATCATGGAATCATTAAGGTTGGAAAAGACCATTCAAATCATTTAGTCTAACCATCAACTCATCAAATCCCCATCACAGAGAAATTAAGAACAAAGACTGAGTGACTATTAGGGAGAAATTATCATAGGTACACTTTCCATTCTTTAGGTGCATATTTATGTCCACTGTTGGAAACTATGAAGAGAAGAGAAGGCTGCGGGGTGACCTCATTGCAGCCTATCAATACCTGAAGGGAACCTACACCCAGGAGGGGAGTAAACTCTTCAAAAGGGCTGATAACAGCAGGACTAGGGGAAATGGTTTTAAGTTGAAGGAGGGAAGATTTAGGTTGGATGTTAGGGGGAAGTTCTTTACTAGGAGAGTGGTTAGGCCCTGGAACGGGCTGCCCAGGGAGGTTGTGGATGCCCCGTCCTTGGACGTGTTTAAGGCCAGGTTGGACGGGGTCCTGGGCAACCTGATCTGAATGTGTATGTTTGGTGGCCCTGCTAGGCAGGGGGGTTGGAACTACATGATCCTTGGGGTCCCTTCCAACCCGGGTGATTCTGTGATTCTGTGATTCTGTGTAACTGAATACCAGGTGATACAGAACGTTGAGGTGAATTTGTAGAATGGTTTTTATGTCCAGCACTGTGTGGGTTAAGATATATAAAGCTCCTCAGGACTTCCTTCTGGTTAGCTTAAGCAATCATATTCCCAGGACAATTGATTTATGCATCCTATACAAATGCATTGCCAAAAGGTCAAAAATTTGTTGAATGATTAATGGTAGGTACAGCTATTCCAGCTGTGACACCTCTACAGACCTGTCTTTGGGGAAGAGCTCACCTTTCTAAAGACCTCAGATCTGAGAAATTTTACTGGCTTCTGAATGGCTTATCTAGGTGACAGTAACCAACATGCCATACGGGACTCTTTTATCTTGCTCACACTTGCCCATAAGGCATTACAGACAAAAACTGTTTCCTATTTCCTTCTAAATAAGAGGACTTGACAACTTAATAATTGAATTTGGTGTTTAGCTTGCTCTGTTTCTGCTATGCCTGCTTTTAATTTCTTTCATTAAGATTTTTTTTTAAGTTTTATTCCTCTGTTGCCAGCTTACAGAGCCCACGAAAAACAGCTTTGTTAGGATTTTACCCGTTTTCACACTAACCCCCTCCCCAAGGTTTCTCAGGGGGATATGTCCAAACTGAAGCTCCTGCTTCTGGGAGGTGTTGAGTTTGGCGTCTGTTTGTATGTTCTTTTTTAAAAAAAGAACAAAACTGTGCCAGTGTGCCCACAGTATTTTCATATAAAGGGGCACTAACATGAACAGCATAAACAGCTGTTTAACAGCTTTGTTGGATATATTTGCTATGAGGTAGGAGAAGGCAAATGTGCTTGTGATGTGGGAAGAGAAACATACATTCTTCAAGAACATACTGTTTTATAGGAACACAATGGAATATATATATTAAACTAGCATCTGTTATTAAAATAAAGTCTATAATATGTTATGTTACGATGTGGATTCTTCATGCTTTTTCTAAGCCAGAAAGCATCTATAGTTTCAGCAGAGAAATACTTCACCTGAGTCATTTGTGCCAAATGCATCAGCTGTGTTAGCTGGCTCGTTGTAAGCTCTACCAGTTTCTGCACTGCATCATACTAATGAGGTAATCACTGAGCCTCTAATGAATGGGATTAGTGAATGGGCAGGGATTTTCATTTGGAATCTCTTGTTCAAATGCAACTTGAGGCTCCCAAAATATTTGCTTGCAATCAGCTTTGAGCTAGGTTCAATTCAGCTCTTAGTGTCTAGATGAAAATCATTTTCATCACTAGAGAATTTGCTAGTTTTGCTGATAGAGGCAGTCCACAGGTTGTGCTGGAAATAAACAGGGAGCTCCACTTCAACAGCAAACACTCTGTGCGAAGGTAGAGCAGCAGGTAACATTTGTAATTTCAGAACAATACTCAACTTGCTTGGAAAAAAAAAACAAAAAACTATCATCCTATTACTGTGCTTTTCTTAATAACAAGTGTTTGGACTAGATGACCTTTCAGGTCCCTTTCAACTGGAACAATAATATTATAATGATCCAGTTATGTTGACTTTGCTGGATAGATGAAAAGAGTACAAACAAGCAAACAAAACCCAGTAAGGACAACAACCCCAAAACTCTGACTTCTGTTTCCCTCCCAAACCTAATTAAGCTTTGCACTTCTGACCCTGAATGAGCTTAAGTACCTGCAAGATTTTGCTGAGCATTTTCAACGCTTAACCTTTACTATTTTAGCTTTTTGGTAAGGAAGCATGTAATTTAAATATGTGCAGGTAAGAATCTAGCTTAATATTTGTTATTCTTTTCTAAACCTTCATAGTAATCAAACCCACATTTCATTGAGAGCTAGCTTATTTTATTGTAATGTATTTTGCTGTATTGTATTTTATGGTGAGACACTGTTTTGGTAAAAGATGTGACTTTTCATGAAGAATAAAAAAACATATCATTTTGTGAAAATCTCTTCAATACTTCCTATGACATTTTAATTAAAACCACTTTTGAAATGCTTTATTTACTGAAGGAGAACTGCATTTATAATACATGACACATTTAAAGATGAATTTAAATGGCATTTTCAATCATGTTTTCAGCAGAATATATTGTGCATGAAAATGGAACAAAATCCCAAATGGTGAATGTGTTGAAACCTATGAGATCAAATCAAATACAGAATTTTATATTTTTCATGAAATGCATTGCTTGACTTTTTTAACACATTACAGATCATTTTCAAAGAAGAGATCACAGTATGTCTTAATGTTTGTCTTGCTCTTTCACTAGTGTTTCTTATAAATAAATAAATATGTTCTATGCTTACAGTGGTATCAAATAAGTATACAGTCATAGAATCCAATAAGTATCTTGCTGATTGTTTGTAATTTACTCATGTAATTTTGAAATAATTTAGCTCATATTTGCCAGAGCAAATTATAAAGCAGCAGTGCACAGAAATGAGAATCTGAGCTGGATTCTATTTAAAATATACAAAAATAATCACAGAAGAGTCAAACAAAGCACATTGACTTTCATAGTTTCTAATGAGCAGAGCTAGAAGTCAGGAGAATGTTAAAAACACAAACAATAAAAATAAATTCTCAGCTATGTATGTTACAACGCACAGAACACCAGATCTGGAGGCAAAAAAATAACATTCCCCAGATACAAAGGTGGCACAATTAAAATCCAAAATGCTGGGTAAAACTTGTTTTCAACTAAGGGTTAAAAAAAAAAAAAAAAAAAATAGCAGGAAAACTTACTCACAATTATACTGATACATGGCATTAAACTTAGCTTTTCTTCCATACAATTAGCGTTTGTTGGTTATAGCAGTTTCAACACACCGTGATCAGCAAAGCAGACACTGACATAGGGAATGAATGTGAAATGCCTTGAGAATCCATTCCACTTCACAGGGTGATCACAGACTCTGCAAAAGCAAGAACAACTGATAAGTATTTGTGGGATTCCCAGAGATTTGCACATGTAAAGTTGTTTCTAATGGAAGGGTGACTGCTCAAGGCGATCCCAAAATGCGCAGTTGAGAGTGAAGTAGACAGTCTCAGAAAGACACATTTTCACTGATTCTAGTCTCAAATAATTTTGCAACAGGTGGACAAGATGAATGTAGAGACAAATCAGATTTATAAAGAAAACAGTATACTGTAACGTAGCACTTAAATGAGTGGATTTTGTGTTCTCTTCAACACCAGTCTTTCCTATACCGTGAGGAGAGTGAGTTTAGTTTTGAAAATACATTTTCCTCCAATATACACAAAGAAGCTGAAGTGTGATATTGATGTATTTCACTGAAGAGAATGTATCTCAGAAATATTTGTCTGTTTTCCATTTCTCTTCACAAAGAAGCCAGTAGGTCCCTTCATTTGATAGGATGAAATACCATATCATGTGTAGATGTCTACAGAATAAAAAGTTTACATCAACTAATCTAAACAGCTAATGTAAATGAAGAGGTTTTTTTTTTATATTACTATTTTTTAAGTGCATGTTTTTCTGTAATTGCTTTAACAGAAACCTCCTGGGATGAGTACTCAAAGAGTACTATAGGCCTTCAAGTACTATAGATTTCTGAGGTTAGGCAAATTGTATTTTTGCATTCACTGCCCTATAAGCCAGCTCTGGCTGTCTGTAATAAACATCACTGTTAAAAGTAGAAACAAACCTTTGTAGTGGCTGTGTTTATTCTGCTTGCAATTCTTTGCTCATACATATGCTTTGCGAGAAAATCTGGCTACTTGGTATCAAAGAAAAGGGAAGAGATGGAAAAATTGTCCGTTAATATTATCAAACCCATAACTGACAGCAACTTTCCTGTTGATGCTGAAAGCTTTAGAAGTATCCTGTTTAAATTACGCTTTATTGCAAATCAAGACAATGTCAAAAAAGAACAGAGATCAGACCCCTCCACCCAACATGCGCATATTATTTTTGCCAATTATTAAAATCATTCACAGTGAAATATTATTTAAATAATATTTTGAAATGAAACATCTTTTGTGTGCTGTGCTACATATAATACGAAGCATAGAAGATATTGCCTTGTATTCACATAAACACTACAAAGAGCTAACAGAAACACTCTTTAATAACAAAAGGTATTCTGAAGATGACATTCATCTCAGTTCATCTCAGCTCAATTAAGGTGTGAAAGTCTTCCCCTGAGAATAATGCCCCCAGGCTCTGGGCTCCTATTATACTAATTACAGATCTAATCAATACAGCCAGTAGATTTTCACGGTGAGGGTCACTTGAATAAAAACATCAACTTCAGAATGACTTAGATTTCACTGGCTGCTATTGACATGCATTATCTACAGAGGGATACTCAGGATGATGCAGAAACATACTCTGGGGACACACAAATGTTGCTATATATTTTCACTAATAGAAATTCTTCTAATATCCAAAACATATTTGCTAGAGTTTGACGTGTTGAAAGGCTCTGAAAAGGTGACAGTGAATGGTAATCATATAAACTTTCCATCCACTCCAGAACCATTCTGACTTTCCTGTTCACTCTTAACATTTAAAAATCTTTCTCTGAAGAGGAAAGGCTGAAGGTAAAGTGGAAAGAAAATAAACAGAAAAAGAGAAAAGAGATTAGTAAAAAGAGTAAAGAAGTAGAGAGGAGGGAAGGGAAGGGAAACAGGAAGGGGAAGGGGAAGGCAGAAAAGATGAGAGGAGATTTGTATTATATCAAATTTGTATTTAAAGCTGAATTATTAATATAATATTAATATATATAAACATCTTAATATAATATTTATCTTAACGTTATATAAATATTAAGACAGGGATCTCCTGGAAGGAGTCTAGGAAAGGGCCAAAAAGAGGAGAGGAGAGGAGAGGAGAGGAGAGGAGAGGAGAGGAGAGGAGAGGAGAGGAGAGGAGAGGAGAGGTATGTTCACATGTCTCTTTTGTCTTGGGAGCACAGCATTGGATACATTTCAGATGTTTCTTGCCAGTGCTGAGTAGAGGTAAAGACTCTTGAGTTAAAGACTCCTCATTGCACTCTACAACTTCCTCCTCATTGCACTCTACAACTTTCTCCTCGTTGCACTCTACAACTTCCTGAAGGGAGGTTGTGGTGCAAAAGGGTCTGGCCTCTTCTCCCAGGCAAACAGTAGGACCCGAGGAAACGGCCAGAAGTTATACCAGAGGAGGTTTAGGTTGGATATTAGGAGAAACTTTTCCTCTCAAAGGTTGGTCAGGCACTGGAATGGCTGCCCAGGGAGGTGGTGGAGTCGCCGTCCCTGGTAGTGTTCAATAGGCGCCTGGATGAGGAGCTACGAGAGATGGTTTAGTGCTTGTGGTACTAATAGGAATGGGAGGCTGGTTGGACTAGATGATCTTGCAGGCCGTTTCCAACCTTGTGATTCTGGGATTCTGTGTGATTCTGTGAGTAGAGGAAAGGCCTGTGAGCTCCCTTAGCCACATGCTGCCATTACAGAAATATCAACTAGTCAGATTTCTTAGTGCTGTCCTCAGTCATTCAAGCCAAGCAGTCAACAACTGTGTGGTGTACAGGCAATCATTAAGTAAATGGCTGATTCAAGTCAGTTGCTCACAAAGGCATTCCTCCTTATGAGGAATGTATGGGTGTGAATATAAACATAAATGTATGGGAAGGATAGAGGAGTGTGAGTTTATGTGTGTGCATAAACGTTCTTGTATATGGGAGAAAGAGAACGCAGCCTAATCAAATCCTGCAGACTTTGGACAAGCTTTGTCTCTGAAGACTCAGATAAAGAGCACCATATGCTTGATATGAAAGCAAACTTGACTACCAGCACAAGCCATTACTCTTGGCAGGCTCTGAAGCTACTGGGAATTATGAATCTTGATTTGCAGTCAGGGAAAATATTCAACATCACTAAAAACATTTAAATTAGAAACGGATAAACTACAGACTTGGCTCTTGAGTGTAACAAGAGGATCTCCAGACACAAACTAGCTACAAGATATGCTGGGCCATGAACCAACAAACTTAATGTATGTTTCTGGTTCAGCAAAGATAAAAATGAGTTATTTTCACTTACTGAAAAAGATTCTGAATTCTGTCACATGCTTATATTTTGAATGAAGTGTTTTCTTTATGAGTTGCTACAGTAATAATAAGTAACGCTGAGTGCAGGAGTTCTAGTCATGGACTATGCAGTCTTGTGTTAGTCTGTGCAGCTGAACTAAATTACAAATTCCAGAAAAAAAAAAAGAATATATATTAAAAATAACAGCGGGGCAGATCTTTGGAAACTTTGCAAGTAGAATCTTAAGTGACTTCAGGCTTTGCCTGTCCACATCAGTGAATCACTGCTATGATGATCATAGCCAGTGAAAGGACATCTAACCTGGTTCTTCTCATGCATAAAAGAAGAAGGCAGAAAATTAAAGATAAATGAGAAAAGATTCCGCTGCCATCAAATTGATAAAATTATCCTACCATGCAGGCTTACCAATCATTTTACTGGGAACCACAGTTATCAGGCAGGTGAGCTACTTTTGTCACCAAGAGACTTTAAGCTGCAGTAGGGACCTGAGCTATGGATCCATCCTACAGCCCTCTTTGGCTTCAGAAACATCTTTTACTCCTTTACAGATTGCTGCATAGACTTTGCTTATTTACTTACTCTAGCTCATTTTGCCTGTGAATTAAACAGCTAGTCTCATGGGAAGATAAATCTTCCACAATGAAAAAACAACTTGATCCTATCTTCTGTTGTTTTGAAACAAGTGACATCTCTTTCTTTGCTCTAATAAAATGTGATTATACAGATCACACTGCATAAATAAATTCTGATGGTATAGCTCCTAACTTTTTCAAATTTATACAGCCATTAAGACTTTTTCATAGACATTAACCTCAATAGACTTCCCTGTTTGAGAACATTCATTCAGATAAATTAACTTCATTGTTAATAGCAGTGGACCACAGACAACATCTCATTTGTGATCAAGAACCTAAACTCATCTGCAAGGCTGAAAGTGGTGATACCAATTTGGACATGAGGATCTCAGTTTTCTGCTTCTGAAAACCCTCAAGAGAATGCTGAAAGAAGAGCAGAAAACTTTGTTTACGTTTTTTCTGCCTCTAGTCTCCAGTAATATCAGAGAATAAAGACATGTATACAGAGCATATTAATTCTAAGAGCTATAGAAAATTCTTAGATTTACCAGACATAGCTGATATGCTTTGCTCAGAATTCAACAGATCACAAGCTTTGGACATACATATCAAATTTAGCCCTTTCAGATAATATTCCTCTGCAATTGTGTGCAGTTCATGCCATAAAAATAAGTCTCTTCCTCCTTGATTGTGCTTCAGGACTTATATCTTCCCTTCTGATCACCTTCCTCTATCTGCACCTGACATCATTATATTACTATACACATTAATGATCAATTACACCTTTTTGGGATAGAAAAAAAAGTATAAACAAAAGACAGAAGTTACAAAACGACTTCTAAGAGAAACCACAGTGTGTCTTGCATCTTCCAATCTAAAACTGATCAGACACCAGATGAGTCTTGGAACAGCACTACTGACATTGTGAATCTCCCAGGCTTATGCTTTTACCTGGGCCTTTGTGCAAAGGTACTGTGAAATGATGAGATTTTGCCTTCAGTAATCTTTTTCCATCAGCTAAAGTCATCACTTTTTAAACAGTCCTTCCCACTAATTTTGTAAGGAAATGATACCCACTTTTCGTTACAGAAATATTAGACATTTTTCTAGTGCACAATGCTCGCAGCAGAAAAAGCTGCTGTTCTATTCACTTACACTGGTCATTTCTCCTTATACTGTAATTTAACAACAGCTTCTTAAAATAGGACAGATCTAATAACACAGAAGCTTTTTTTTTTTCCAGGAAAAAAAGCTAGGTAGAAAGTGATGACATACTTCATGGTATA